GCAGAGATCGGACCAGCAATCATGTCCATTTTCCCTTATAACTTGCCAGGATTCAGTTACCGTCGAGCACTCAAAGTACATCATCCATTAACTCTACCCCTCATAAATAATCTACATATTATATATAGTTAATAGTAATTACTTATCTACTATCAATATTCACGAGGTTTCATCAGTAATTACTTATCTACTATCAATATTCATGAGGTTTCATCTCAAAATCTAGAAGGGAATATACCATTGTGGAGATACCTTAGATATCTGGGATACCGTTGTCCTTAACAATTGATATTAAAGTCCTCACCGCTTTGCTTTTGGTTCCACCCAAAAGGCGTCGTACCAATGGAAATAATTGTATTCTCTTATATACCATGAATCATTCTCTTTTTTCTACCCAATGTAAGGTTTTGTTTGCGCTCTCTTTACAAATCCAATAAAGCTAATTTATCCTATTTTAATGTGGGATTCTTAATATGTAACATGTATTTTTGCAGGCAAGGATCAAGGTGGAAAATATCGTCCGACCCGTGATACAAAATAGAAAAAAGGCATTAGAAAACAATGTAGATTTGGAAGAGACATGTCAATTGGACGCAGTGATTAAGGCAACGGATAAGAATGGGGAGAGAGTATTCAATGACAACGCAATTATTTGCATGCTACTTGGACTGCTATATGCTGGTTATCATACCTCAGCTCATGGTGCTCAGTGGACAATGGTTCATGTTTCAGAAAACCCAGATGTCTACCAAAAGGCCAAGGTCTCATCATTTGATCTCCCAAATTAAACACTTGATAATATAATATAATTAACAAGTTGCTCATGATTTGGTGATGGTTTTTTACAGGAAGAGCAAGAGATGATCATCAAGCAAAGACCACCTAATCAAAAAGGATTGAATTTTAAGGAAATTAAACAAATGAAGTACACCGCAAAGGTACACATGCTTGTTCATATCATATGTAACGTTGATGTACATCTTCGGTTCATATGTAATTGTAAAAATATTTCTTTGAAACTAAATTTCAATATATCTGAAAGAATTTGGGAAGGGCGATAATTAGAGTACGTCGGATCGGATATGCCAATAAATATTCAAAAAAGTTAGTTGAGTAGGTAGGTAGTAGAAATTAAGAAGTATGTTTTAAAGGTGTATAGAAGATTATTTCTCATAGTCGATGGTATGAATCTTGAGAAGATATGATTAGGATAAAAAAGTTTGAGTCAAACTAGATGACAACGATCTCAAAAAATATTCAATCAAATAAAACATAACATGAGATAGATTAGTAGTTTGGTACCTCTTCAAATGCATCTAAAATGATGTTTTGACCATCCGTTAAAGCTTGAATTAAGAGTTTGGTAACAAATAAGAAGAGCTAAACATCTCATTCCATCTTTATTACTTTTATTTGAGTGAAATATATACCATTCAACTTTTATTATTACTTTTTTAATTATCAATTTTTGTTTTCAGATCATCAATGAAGTATTAAGACTCAATAACATTGTGTTCACAAATTTTCGCATGGCAACCAAAGACGTAAATGTCAATGGTAAGTGATTCTATTTATGCCATTATTATCATTTATATATGGAAAATACTTTGCTCCTTAACGGTGAGAGACCTCACAACCATTAAAAAATTGACAACTCATTCATTTTTATAAAAAAAAATTACTGTTTTTACATTTCTCCATCTTCATGGTCAAATATTTAAGGATGGTAACGACAAGATTGCTCCTCACCATTAAGGAGCCAACATTAACTATTGAATTATTGTATATATAATTAGCTCACTGTCAGATTGAATTAATTATTTACTCATTGATAATAATTTTTTTTTAATTACTGTTTTCTTTCTTCTTTACTTATCATAGGTTATACTATACCAAAAGGATGGATTGCAGCAATGTGGATTAGAGGCGTACACATGGACGATAAAATATATGAAAATCCATTGGAATTTAATCCTTCAAGATGGGATGTAAGTCTTAAGATCCCATTCAATATATATATGAATTCATTTATTTGAAAATTATGTCTGCTTCAGTGATGTTTAATTTTCTGTTTTTGTAAATGATTGTGCAGAACTATACTCCAAAACCAGGAGAGTATATCCCATTTGGAATTGGAAGCAGGTTTTGCCCTGGAAATGAACTTGCAAAGCTTGAAATGACCGTTTTGCTTCACCATTTTCTTCTGGGCTACAGGTGAGTTTCTTTCCATCAATTTTTTGGTGAATTTAATAGAAGATAATTGATTGATTGATGTAGTTGTTCTTTTGATTACGATGTTGTGTCGTGTTCAAATTGTGATAGCAAAAATGAGATTGAAAATAGAGATCAAAGTGGTCACTTAGGGGAACGTTTTGATAGTAGTGAACTAAAATGAATCAAAGAAAATAGTATTTAAACCTTAAATAGTTGATATAATAAGGTCATAGCATGACAATTTCTAATATTTGTGTTGTAGATGGGAAAGAGTGAATCGAAAAGCTCTAGTCAGCAACATCCCAATTCCCGCGCTTGTTGACGAATGTCTCACCAACATAACTAAGCTCCCAAGTTATTAGTAGTTGTTATGAGAGATTTATGTTTTGCATTTGGATCTATAATCTAGAATGAAGCATCTGTTTTCACTAGCTACTTTCCTATGTTATTATGTCAATTAGTTGATGATAATAAAATTCATGTTACTTTGTGTTGTTTATCAAGTTTGGTATATTTCTTAAATATGGTTGTTTTAACCCTATATACAAAGTTTCATACCTATAATATTTATGGTTAATGTTAATCCAACCATTACCATATTTATTTATGATTAATTGAAAGGATCTAAACATGTGCTACTATTAAGAGATGTCCAGAACTTTGATTAGCTAAGACTTATATAAAATAGTAAAAAAATGCTATCTATTATGGGAAGACGAAACTAGACCCGACAAGCGAACAATATCATAGGTCAAAGGCTTAAAGTATGATCAGATCTAGGGCGTGATCAGGTCCAAGGCCTAAACCATGACTAGATCTAGGGTGTGACTAGGTCCGGGGCACAACAAGGTCTCGACCGACCAGGTGTAGAAACCAAGAAGGGAAGCAGAGTCCGACAACACGGAGGACAAACAGCCTAGATTTGTCGAAGTCGATCTAGGGTCAACATCGACAACGAGTTGACGTCGGCCGAGAACTCTGGAGAGATCTCTCCAAAGGTTCAAAGGTAAGCCTGAACCTGCCCAGTCTTGGTGAAATCCCATAAAGGGCAAAACAACTCCTTAATTCGACATCTGACGCATGAAGTGCTCAAGCCCAGACGGCTAGATTTTCTAAAGGTATGAAGATTCGACCTCTATAAATATAACGGAAGGCTGAACCCTAAAGGTACGCTAAATAACTCTACTCTCAATATTCAACAACTTTCAATTCTAACTTAAGCATCAGAGTCTATGTGACTAGCACCACACCGGTGTAAGTATTATTTGTTTTGCAGGTAAACATTTGTTCCCGTTTCATTATTAATTGCTGCAAATTTGGTGGAATCTCGAAGAACGACTTAAATTCTGCATCAACGCTACCCTTTTATGCTGGGTAGGACAAAACGGTAAATGAAATAGACAAGTATATATCATTGCAACCTAAGCAAAAATGTCATCACAACAGATTAACTATTTAAACAAAGGTCTGCATATAATTAACTAACGTCAATAACGATTATACATGAAAAGAAATGCATGCTTTTTTGAATCGTATTAAAGTAGTTGATCAACTCATACTATGGTTCCAACTTTCCAAACACAAATTTTATTATGTTATTTATTGTAGACCATGGATTAAACTCTCATCTGTTAATTTTTTTATCTTCCATATGCAGCAATCAGCCTCCTTCAATTAGTAATGAAGACAAAATCAGGAGAGTAAAGGTAGAGAGAGATTCACACTCACGAGGCACTGTTTACAAAGGTTCCAGCTCTAATTTCTCCTCAAAATCTCAGAGTAATCTCGTATTTTCTCTAATTCTAGAAGTGAGTATTTACATGTTTACAGATCATACATGGCTCTTTTTGCAGTTTTGCACTTTTTGCAGCCACCTATC